CTAGCCCACATTTTACCAACTTGTTTGCAAGTGTACATTTAATTTTTGAGGGCCAGCATGGCATAGTGGTTTGAGGGCTGGACTAGGACACGGGAAGACCAGGGTTCGAAACCCTGCTCAGCCATGTAAACCCACCGAGTGACCTTCGGAAAGTCACACTCTCTCAGCAAATGAGAGAGTGGCAAACCGCCTCTGAAGAAACTTGCCAAGAAAACCCATGATAAGTTGGAAACGACATGAAGGCACCTGACAAAAATAAATAATTGTATTTTAACTGTGGGCATATGTGTTTTTAAATGTGTTTTGTATTTTAATATAGTGTACCCCATCTCAAATCTTGAAGAGCGGCGGGAAAGAAATAAAATTTATCATCATCATCATCATTCACTGACTAATCAATCAATTGATCGTTCTATGGTACTGATGTAAGTTGCCCTTGTTCGTCCCATGATGCCTCATTTTAATTATCTTTAATTTAGTGCCTTTACAGACTGCCAGAAATAGTGCAAATTGAGGCCACTTTAACTGTCCTGGCTCAGTGCTAAGGAATCATGGGAACTGTAGTTTATTGTGGCACCAGAGCTCTCTGACAGAGAAGGTTCAGTGTCTCAGGAAAAAAATACAATTCCCATGATTCCCTAGCATTGAGCTAGGATAGTTAAAGTGGACTCAATTTACACTATTTCTGGCAGTCTGTAAAGGAGTTAATTTTACTCATTCGATGTATTTTATGGTGGTGTGTTAGTTTTGAATTGGTGGTAAGGGAATCATGTTATTTTATCATGTTGTTTTATAGCTGTATTGTTGTATTTCATTATTGTTTCCCGACTCGATCCTTTAGGAAGGGTGGGTTATAAATCATCATCATCATCATCATCATCATCATCATCATCATCATCATAGTCATTATCAATATTATTAAAATGCAAAATCAATTTGCAATTATTAATTCAGCAGGAGGAAGAGGAAAGAGGGCAAAATTTTGCCCTTCCCAGTAAACTGAAGCAAAAGCAAACTCCTGTTTTGTGTGTTCTTCTGTATTAATTTGTTGTCTTGACCATATTGTGATGTTGTTTGGCCATGTGTCCCAGTTTTTATCTGAAAAATATTAGAGGTCGTGTAATAGATTAGCATATTCTGGGGGACCGATTCCCTTCTAAGACAATATAAATATTGAAGGTTTCTTAACCCTCTAAACTGAACCTGGAAAGGTAAAAAAAAATTCCTCTTCTCTAAGGCTTCATCTGCACTGCAGAAATAATGCAGTCTGACACCACTTTAACTGCCATGGCCCCATCCTATGTAATCCTGAGATCTGTTGTGGCACCAGAGCTCCCTGACAGAGAAGGTTCAATATCTCACAAAACTACAAATCCCAGAATTCCATAGCACTGAGCCATGGCAGTTAAAGCAGGATCAAACTGCATTAATTCTGCAGTGCAGCTGCAGCCTTACTTGGACTCAAGCCATGTAAGGCTTTCAGTGTCATCATCAACACTTGAAATTTTTGCACCTTCATTTTTAAAAAGCCTGATTCAACTTGGGAACTTGGGAAGATATTAAGTAATTAAAATGACTAGAGGTTTCCTAGGCATGTCCAGAGGGCCTTCTTTTCACAATGAGGAAAAAGGTAAGCCCACAACACATCTGCTTGTTTAAAAAAAAAAACTAAAGGCACCAAGTGAATTCCATCTGGTCTTGGAAGCTAAGCAGGGTCAGCCCTGGATAACCCTTGGAGGGGAGAATGCCAAGGAATCTCAGGTATTAAGGTAGGCTGTTTTTCTGAAGAAAAGCCTTGAGAACCATATGCAGCAGGTATTTTCATTTTGTTTGTCAAAACCCTATAGGCACCAAGTGAATCCCATCTGGTCTTGGGAGCTAAGCAGGGTCGGCCCTGGATAGTCCTTGGGTGGGATACCATCAAGGACTCCCAGGGGCTGCTGTAGATTTAGGAGGAAGGACCTGGCCAAACCACCTCTGAGGATTCCCTGCCTAAGGAAACCCTATGAAATTCTGAGTAAAAACCCTAAGGCACCCAATGAATCCTATTTGGTTTTGGAAGCTAAGCAGGGTCAGAGCCTGGATAGGCCTTAGAGGGGATACCACCAAGGTGCTCCTAGGTGTTGCTGTAGATTTCAGAGAAAGGACCTTGAGGACCATGTCCAGCAGGTATTTCCATTCTGTTTTGCAAAGCCCTAAAGGCACCAAATGATTCCTATCTGGTCTTGGACACTAAGCAGGGTCAGAGCCTGGATAGGCCTTGGAGGGGAGACGTCCAAGGACTCTCAGGTGCTGAACCACCTCTGAACTTTCCCTGCTCTAAGAATGGGGTTGGATTGGATGACCTTTGAGGTCTCTTAACCTCTATGGTTCTATATAACAGCAAAATGCGGAAAGGTCAAAGGGGGCATGGAAATATTCCTGCAAGGCTCTGCAAACCTGAGGCCCACCTCCCAGGGTCACTAATCTGGAAATCATCCCAGGGCAAAAGCAGATGGCGTAAATGTTCGTGTTGGTTGCTCCATCTGTTGCTAAAGGTCTGGGGCCAGGGTAAACATGCACATGACGTTCCTCTTATCATGGGACATCCAGAGGCAATTCCCAGCATAAACAGAAATATTTTTTTTTATTCCTACCTAGAGGCTTTGGGATTTTTAAAAGTCCAATATACATTGCATGGGGAGGGAGGAAATGTACCCCTTTTAAAGGATGCGTAGTTCTCTAGTTTTGATTAAAGGGCTCTTTCCTGGATGGGAGGGGGAATACAGGTCCTTTGTACTAGAATCGTTGAATCGTAGAGTTGGAAGAGACCCCAAGGGCCATCCAGTCCATCCCTCTGCCATGCAGGAACTCACAATCAAAGCACCTCTCACAAATGGCCATCCAGCCTCTGCTTAAACACCTCCAAAGAAAGAGACTCCAGCATACTCCAAGGAAGCCTATTCCACTGTCAAACAGCTCTTGCTGTCAGAAAGTTCTTCTGAATATTGAGATGGAATCTCTTTTCCTGTACCGTAGTTTGAATCCATTGCTCTGTCTCCTATAGCAGGGGTAGGCAACCTTTTTGAGCCGGGGGCTGGGTTGCTGAACCCTCAGACAATTGGGGGGCCGAAGCACCAAAAATAAATAAATAAAAATAAAAAAATTAAATTTAATTAAAAAAATTTTTAAAAAAAATATGCATGCACACTCTCTCAGCTCCAGAAAAGCCATGGCAAAACCCCTGTGGAGATTTTGCCAAGAAAACCCCAAGAACAAGTAATAACAACAATAATCAATATCATCATGGCGGGCGGCGGCGGCGGCGGCAGGACCGGCCTGGGCCCAGTCCAAAGGCCTCGGGGGGCCACATCCGGCCCCTTGGCCTAAGGTTGCCTACCCCTGCTTTAGAGTTTCAGCAAACAGAGTGCAAATAACTTCAGTACATCGTCCTCAAGGTCCTTCCTCTGAAACAGAGCCTACTGCAGCAGCTGAGATTCCCGTCTCGGTCTCCCCTCCAGGGGCTATCCAGGGCCGACCCTGCTTAGCTTCTGAGACCAGATGGGATTCATTGGGTGCCTTTGGAGTTTGACAAACAGAAGCAAAATAATTTCTGCACATCGTCCTCAAGATCCTTCCTCTGAAACAGAGCCTACTGCAGCAGCTGAGTTTTCCTTCTCGGTCTCCCCTCCAGGGGCTATCCAGGGCCGACCCTGCTTAGCATGCAAAATCAGATGGAATTCATTTGGTTCCTTTAGGGTTTCCCCCTCTATAAATTCATTCAATAGGTTTTTCTTAGGCAGGGAATCCTCAGAGGTGGCCCTTCCTCTGAAATCTGCAGAGCACCTCAGTCCTTCTCGGCCTCCCCTCCAGGGACTATCCAGGGCCGACCCTGCTTAGCTTCTGAGACCAGATGGGATTCTGCACATCGTCCTCAAGGTCCTTCCTCTGAAACAGAGCCTACTGCAGCAGCTGAGACTCCCTTCTCGGTCTCCCATCCAGGGGCTATCCAGGGCCGACCCTGCTTAGCATGCAAAAATCAGGCGGGATCTTTTGGAGGCGGGGCTTTTCTTTCTTTCTTTCTTTGGAGAAAAACAAACCAAAAGCATTGCCAGGAGGCTGGTGCTGCTTCATCCACATGATCGGAAGAGGCAAGCCCAAATTGCTGACCTAGAAACGCCCCTGGAAAGGAAGGAAGGAAGGAAGGAAAGAAAGAAAGAGAGAAAGAAAGAAGGCGGGCCTCGGTCGCCATAAGCCAGAGTCCAGCAAAAGGGAGCTCAGAGCCAAGGCTGACATTTGGGTGGCTTTGTGTTCCCTTCCCTTTTGCAGCACCACCACCACCATCATCCTGGGCTCCTGGAAGGAGGTAAGCAAGAAGGGGAAGAAGGAAGGCTCCAGGAACAGATAGAGCGGGATGGAAGCGGGTTAAGGGGCTGGGGAGCCACCCTCATCCTCCTCTTTCTCTTGCATGCTTTTTCATGAATGAAAGGGCTTCCAATAATGATTCTTGTATTCTTGTTTGTCTTCTGCCCATTTCCCAAAAGTGGGACTCAAGAGATGCTTGCAATATTTAAAAACAACAGCAAACAACAACAACAACAACCCAGTACAATTAAAAACATGCAAAAGTGGTCTATTAAAACGGGATTAAATCATTAGAGTATTAAAACAGATTGCATGTTAAAAGAATAAAATGCAGGTAAAAGTGTTTAATTGATG